ACCTTATCCTGTATGCCTGCAGTTTGACGAGGGCACTGTACCTTGACCTGGCGAGAAGTTTGGAGACCAGTGAATTCCTTGTAAGCCTAAAGGGATTAATAGCAAGGCGTGGCAGACCAAGTACGATCTATTCAGACAACGGCAGTACTTTCATTGGAGCCGCGGCATGGATTAAGCAAGTTCAGAACGACGAGAAACTAAACGATTTCCTTGCACGTCACCAAATCACATGGAAGTTCAACCTAAGCCGAGCCCCCTGGTGGGGAGGCCAGTTCGAGCGCATGATAGGGCTGGTCAAAACAGCAATGAGGAAAACTATCGGCAACGCCTATCTAACCTTTGATGAGCTGAAAGAAGTCTTTCTGGATGTGGAAATAGCCTTGAATGGTCGGCCACTATCCTATGTTGAAGATGATGCACAATTACCAGTCTTGACACCGTATTCAATGCTGTTCAGCCAACCAAATATCCTACCTGAGAGGGAGGCCTACCATGAAGAGAACCCACAACTCAGACGGCGAGCAAAATACCTCAGAAAATGCAAGGATGCGATTTGGAACCGCTGGACGAAAGAGTACCTTCGTGGGCTGCGAGAACGTCACACCGTAACACATAAAGACTCTCCTTGTGGAGTTGAGAAGGGAGATGTGTGCCTTATCAAAGACGACAACAAAGACAGAAATAAGTGGAAACTTGGAATAGTGGAAGAGCACATTGTGGGACGTGATGGCGTCGTGAGAGCTGTAAAGCTTCGAGCAGGAAAGAGCTATCTGGAGAGAGCTGTGCAGCAGTTGTATCCATTGGAGTTGTCCTGTGACAAGTCTACAGAGGCAGAAAACCCACCACTGAATCCTGAAGCGCTCGCCTTTAGGCCAAGGCGAGATGCCGCAGTCGCAGCTAGACTGCGAGTCCAAGAGATTGCTGTACGTGACCAAGACGACTAAGGAACATTGTTTATTTGAATACTCAGTTTAGACCGTTTCAAAAGAGGAACATTGATTTCAGACTACTAGATTCCAAACAAAAGGAATTTAAGAACTTTACTCAAACTGTATTTGCTCCCGTGATGGAAGCAAATAGGGGAGTGTGTCGAGATATTTTTAGCTGCATTGTGTGACAAGTGATTTGCTTTATGTGATTTCCTTTTTGTGGTTTCAATGTATACGAAAGAATCAATTAATCTGTAACCTGTCCATCATCGTTGACTAGGAATTTAGGTTGTGTCGCGCGTCAGTGTAACTAACCAACAAAAATATTATTCACTTCTATCAATAATTCGGGACGAGATCAGTGTACATTGTGCTAAAGAGAAAATAAACCGTGAAGTTTGCGAAAACTGCCTGGTGCTTTGTGGGCATTCGCAACACGGGCTATGTAGAAGTTTTCAAAAATTAAAGAAAGCTTTATTCATTATTTTCTGGCGTCTTTTTGCATGTATCTCAGTGCTCGTTTGTACATTGACTAAGAAGACATATGGAAATTTCCATGTTCCTCTTTGCATGTTATCTGCGTAAAGGTACATGGCAATTTCTATGTTATGCCCTGAGCACTAAATTTTACCAGATAAAACAAAAAAGTGGTAGAATGTAAGGCATTTCTAAATGATGCTGCCATAATTTTTTCCTTTACGAGGGCGTTTGGTAAGAACTTCATTGAAACAGCTATATTTTGCCAGAAAATCACTACTTTAGAAAATCAAGTTTAACTTTGGAACGTGTTGTTGATTTCACTATTCTTTTTTCACTTTGCTAGGTAGACTTTTTTTATTTCCAGGATTTCGCGCAACAGCAAACGTTGTTCAATTTCAGCGATTTGTTGTTTTTTCATTACAATGTTGGTTATTCGACGGTAGCGTTTCGTTTTTTTTTAAATTTGTTTCAAACACTGTAAAGTCCATCATGTTGAGGTCACCATTCTTTTTCACTTTTCTAGGTAGACTTTTATTTTCGGGATTTTGCGCTTTGATGGGAAATCAAAAGTGAAGTATAGCCGCACTGGCGCAGCACCCTAGAGACAAATGTTAACCTCGAAATTGTCATTGTCTTCGCAGTATGAATTCGGCGGATGATGTAGTGATATATTTAACAATTATTCCACGAGTGCGCGTTGGATATGAGTTGGCTATAATCATCTCATATCCAACAAGCGCTAGTGGAATAATTGCTAAATATATCACTACATCATCACTGTAAAGTCGATCATGTTGAGTTCACCATTCTTTTTCACTTTTCTAGGTAGACTTTTTTATTTTCGGGATCTTGCGCTTTGATGGCAAATCGAAAGTGAAGTAGCCGAAGTGCGCAGCACACTAGAGACAAATGCTAACCTCGAAATTGCCATTGTCTTCACAGAATGAATTCGGCGGATGATGTATAGAGAATACTTCATGGAAAGTGCCGGCGTACGGTATTTACGCACGAGTTGTTGACCAATCAGAAATCGAACGAGTGAGCGCAGCGAACGAGTAAGATTTCTGATACAAAAACAACGAGTGCGTAAATATCGTACAAAGCACTTTCCATGTGGTATTGTGTGTATTATATACATACTGAGACATCCATCATTTTGGCGGCCTTTTTATTTTAAATCTTTCAAAAATCCTAAAATTTGCCGCTACACACTTACCGCAAAATGACAACGAAAACGAAGTATCCGCTTTTTAGTAAAAACGTTTGTTAAAAACATAACTGAAGGTGAGGATATGAGGTAATCCAAGAACTATACGTAATCTTAACTGTTTTTTCTCAATGCACAATTAAAAATGAGAGAATTTAAGTAAAATGGCCGGTAAAAGTAGCTCCGACAAAAAGCACAACAAAAGCTTACGTCTCGTTCTGTTTATCCCTTTCCGTTGTTGTTTCGCCGGCTCTCTACCGTTTTCTTTATCGACAGTGAAACAAGCGAAACTATTCCACTCCATTTCCGAAATGTTTTTCACTTTTTTAGCGCGAAAAACTCTTTGAGTAAAACTTTTCTTGTTGAATGTGTGCGAAGCGCGCTGCAAGCTGCAATAACAGGCGGGAATTTTGGCGCGAAACTCACACACCTTTGTGGCTTCTGATTGGACGTATCATTTTTCTCACACGTGAAAAAAACATCGTTCGCGATTCTGATTGGACGTATCATTTTTTTCACGTGTGAAAACCATCGTTCGCTCCTCTGATTGACTACAACTAATTTGCGTACGAAAATTTACGGCATAGCTTTTTGGTGAGTATTTCTCAGTATGTATATAATAAAGTGATACATTTAACAATTACTCAACGAGTGCGCGTTGGGTATGAGATGGTAGATAGCCAACGAGTTGGCTATAATCATCTCATATCCAACAAGCGCGAGTGGAATAATTGTTTTATTAAAAACGCCCACAAAATATCGAGAATTCTTCCCGGCTTTATTTGTAACTAAAACCACCGATTTTCAGCTTGTCTTTAGTTTTGAGCAGACACGTACAGTTACCATATTTGGAGAGCATGGTATAATGGCTCATATACCATGATGGCTAAGCCAATCAGAGCGGTAGAATTGCATTATCCAATGATTCAGTTTTTAATAAATAAATATATATGTTGCAGTTAATTTTTATTTTAGTTAATTTTTGTTTCTCCTTTGTTTTAAATTCATTAGAATACATTACAATACATTACCCTCGCGTCCTCTTCGCGTCTTCTGTCTCCTCTTGGACCCTCCTCCAAAAATAATTCTGTACACCACAGGCGGCCCAAACTCACGTTGCGAGGGAAGGGTGTAAATGTAATTTACATAACATATGTGACGCGCCGGTGTCGCGTTACAGGCGACCGTTGAAAATATAAGAGACTTTGTATGGGAAATATATTACTGAGATCTGCGAACGCCAAATAACGCTAAACCTTACTTTTTCTTAAATGAAATGAATAAAAAAGTCTTACCTGCAATCTATTCCGCTGCGGTTTGGTGTCTGTTTGTCGTTTTACTGTTTTTTTGGCTTTATTGCGTAACCACTGTTACTCCTTTCATAGAACGAAGTGAAGGCTGGTCACTTCCATCTGTCGGGGTCCTGGACCAGTCGCAAAAAAAATGCCGTTTTTTTCGCCGAAATTAAAATCCGCTGCAAATTTTTCAGTTCCAGCCCAAGAAGGAAACCTCTTCTTCCTCTCTGGGAGATCGGCTCGAAAAAAAATCCATAATTTCCCCATCAAATCGAGCCATTTGTGCCGGACTTCGAGGCAAGTCTGGCTTTCGTGCAGTGCCTGTGACCACTGTCGCGCTTACCAAGGTTTCCAATTTCAAATGCAAATTAGTTGCTAGGGTGGCGTGGTGGGGCGAGGAGCCTAGTTAACACTAGTTAACGGGTCATTTCTGCCCTTGCACCCGTCGCGTAAGTGCTAATTGTCACCCTAGCAACTAATTTGCATTTGAAATTGGAAACCTTGGTAAGTGCGACAGTGGTCACAGGCACTGCACGAAAGCCAGACTTGCCTCGAAGTCCGGCACAAATGGCTCGATTTGAAAAAACGACAAACAGACACCAAACCGCAGCGGAATAGATTGCAGGTAAGACTTTTTTATTCATTTCATTTAAGAAAAAGTAAGGTTTAGCGTTATTTGGCGTTCGCAGATCTCAGTAATATATTTCCCATACAAAGTCTCTTATAGTTTCAACGGTCGCCTGTAACGCGACACCGGCGCGTCACATATGTTATGTAAATTACATTTACACCCTTCCCTCGCAACGTGAGTTTGGGCCGCCTGTGTGTACACTTGGGTAAATAACATAAGTCAACGTTTAGGATCCTCTTTGCAGACATAGGTGCCTTATCACGCACTCCAACTGCAATGCTTATTTAGTAGGCAGATTTTGTATAAGGAATAAGCCCAATACCACTAAATACTCTTAGCTACAATGTATTTTTTTCTTTAGAAAATAAACCTATTTAAGAAACTACCCTAAATACCTTAAATTTGCAACTGTGCTAATTATTATTTTATGTAAGTACCTGTTCGGCTATCTTGGGAAAATGCAGGATCGTAAAACGCAGGCTTTTACTGTATTCATCATTTTATTGCTTGGAAATCTTGTAATCCTAGAAGGTGAAGCTTGCAACGAGACTCACGTGGGTGCAGACAGTGGTATCCTTCAGTCTCCGTTTTTTCCGCACAATTACCCGAATGAAGCCTACTGTTTCTGGAATATCAGAGTCAACCAATCACAGCACGTGTTTTTGATGTTCTCATCAAGTTTCAGTTTACAGGCTGAAAACAACACAGATGTCATTCGTGTGTACGATGGAGGGAATACCACAGAGGAGGAGTTGGGAGTGTTTTACGGAGGACACCCGCCCCCTCAGGATGGACTCTATTCATCAGCAAACCAAATGTTTGTGGTTTTTAAAACGGACAACAACAAATCTTTCTCCGGTTTCCAAGCTTCCTATCACGCCTTAACGTGTTCCGGTAAGGATGTTTCAGAACAACTGACCTTCTTCTAGGCCACAATGCAGTTTCCATTCAAATTTTCAAAGGCAATAGGCCACTTCCGAGTTCCGAAAACCCTCACTTTCAAAATGAGGCCAAGTGCACAGCCATTCTTGTGAAATTGAGTTTTATTTGCATGAGAATGAAAAATCATCTCCATATCAATGGCTAAGCACTAGTCGTTTTGATACAGAGGCCCAGGGGAACTCGGATATGGCCTACCTTGCATTGCCATCAACCTCGAGACAGGCAGAGGGAGCAATCTTTTTACGTAACTTCGCGCGGTAGCTTCAAGCCTTGACGAAGACCGGCGAATGAAGGCGTTGTTGAAACTTCACTTTTAAAATCATGTTTAAATCGTTGTAGATTATAAACACTACTTATCGACCGAGAGTGATGTCCGAGATTACAGGGAAATCTCAGACCGAGGCTTTGATGTAATAGGGAGCTTATAAGCAACAAGGACGGCGACGGCTACAAACGTCACTTATTCGCTTATTCTGTCTCGTTTAATTCGTGAAATGTTGGCAAATTTTTTTGGAGTTAAGTTCTAAAGGACTGTATCAAAGTTCAGGAAAGAAAAAGAAACTTGTTGTTGTGTGTTCCCGTCCTCGACAAAACTGCGTGCAACAACAGCAAAGAAATGTACAATAAAGCGTGATGCACGTGCAACGTTGTTGTTTTGCGAGTATAAACCTTTTCCTTTTTGGCCGTTGTCGTTGCCGTTCGCTGTCTTCATTGCTTAAGCTCCCTATCTATACATCGAGGCCTCGGTCTGAGATTTCTCTGTAATGACCAAACGCACGAGGTTAATAAGTTCTTTATTATATGGCCTTTTTAGCGTCCTTTTCTTTAAAGTTGACTTCCAACACAGGGAAAAAAAACCTAAACAATAACGTAAAGTCATAGCAGCCTAACACTGTCGGCCCTTGCCATAGGGTACTTTGAGGTCTTGTCTAAGTGGGCTACGAAATTCCACTACCTCTTGACTATTTTCTATTGTTTGTTTCCTTGTTTGACATATTTTTTGCTTGAAATATATAGATCCTCTTGGAATGGAAAGCGGGGCCATTTCTGATGCTCAAATAAGTGCATCTTCGCATTATACCAAGAACTGGCGGCGTGACCATTCTGCAAAAAAGGCAAGGCTAAATTCGAGAGTGTCGTGGAGGAATATAGAATGGTGGGCAGCGGCTACAAATGATCTTCACCAGTGGCTTCAAGTGGACTTTGGTGGTTACACCAAAGTAACACGTATCGCGACTCTGGGAAGTGGAGACGGAATCGTACAATACGTGACTAAGTTTAAGATCCGGTATAGTTCTGACGAAGTCATATGGCAATTTTACAAAGAACCTGGTAATGCGAATGCTTCAGCAAAGGTACGCTGGACTTGCTAAATAGGTAACTTAGGCAACGACGACGACAAAGAGAACTGCAAAAAGCAATAGTTCCGGTTTGATTAGCAAAACAATAACCTTACATGTGCATTACGCTTTTTTTTTGTACATTTTTTTGCCGTTTTTGGAAGGTGAAAGTGCTTAAATTCATGTTTTGTCGAAGACGGAAACACAAGACAACAACTTTCTTTTTCTTTCCTGAACTTTGACACATTCCTTTAGACGATAAAGTTTGAAGCAGCGCGAATTCACTTTTTAAGAGACGTTTTCGTAGCCGTCGCCGTCGTTCAGTGCTTAAGCTCCTTAATGAATCCCTGATGCCAGTCCCCCCTCCCCCACCCCCTACTGTGGCAAAATCTGCCTCAGGCATATCCTTAGTGTTGTATGGAACGCTTAGTGATTTAATATGAAAGAAGAAGGTGAAGCAAATACTGAATTCAGTAAGGTTTCCAAAGATAGCTGCCTTAATGGGGGCCTCAATGGGGTTTACCATCAGCCGTCAAATGGCCTAAAAATTGACCGTCAACAGTCAGAAAAGGTTATTTTTTACCCTCAACGGTCATAAATGCAGGTTAAGAGTAACGGTCAACAAGCTTTAAAGTATGTCAAAACTCACTATTTCAGCTGCTCTTCACGGCGTTCCGGGAGAATCGGGAGTCCGGACCCCCCTATCAGACCTGAAGCTTGTTTGAGACTTAAATTCTTACATCGACTGGCTGATTTTTTTAATGCATGGAACGCGCGTTGCATTTTGCCACTAAACTAAATTCTAGGGATATTCAAAAATGTAATTGTTTTTGGGTACCCTCCTATGATCTGTTTACCTCAGCTCGCAAAGTAGTCTTTTCCGTGCCAACGGCGACTGACGTTCACAGATTGAGAAACACGTGGTCGTCTCTATGAGAAGTTATTTGCCACAAAAAAGTTCAACGGTACTTTCTGAACCAAAGATTGGACCCCCCAGTCAAAAATTCCTTGATCCGCCCCTGGGTAACACAATAACTGGTAGATCTCTTTCTGGCATACAAGGTTAAGAATAGCAAGTGACCGGAGGCAAACCAGTTGGCTATTTACAAGGGTGACCGAGGATTTGAACTCGGAACTATCGAAAACAAGTCCCGTGAGCGGTCAGGGCGGGCATTGAACGCGGGGCCTCCGGACTACAATTCCAGCGCCTTTAACTGCGGATCATTTTACGTTTCTGTGAAACTGCCCACCTACCCCTCCCCTAAACCAACATTAACACTTAGCAAGAGCCATAATAGGACAGAGAGGGAATCTAAGGGCGTTGGCCGGGATATCTTAATTTTTAGAACTATGCGGACCACGCGGAAACAGTTTCCGGTAAACTGGTTAACTTCCGGAAGACTCGCTTTCACGATTCAGCGCGCCAAAGCGAGGCGGCGTCAACAAATAAAAAAAATGGCGGCACAAGTGGAGGGACGATGTGGAGTTGATAAATTGGCCTTCTTCAACAAAGAACCTACCATAGAAACTGCTTAAAAAAACTTCTACACAAAAGGGTCCTTTACAAGCAACGGTAGAAATCGGTTAAAGCGACCGCGTGACCATCGTTTTTGTTTGAACTGCTGGAAAGAAGACAAGTAGCGTTGCGGCCCGGACAGGTGTTGTACACAAAACGCGCGGGTCCTACAAAGATGACCGTGCAAGCGACCGTGTGGACGTATTTTCTATTGAAAGAGGAAGGAAAAGTACGTATAAAGGTTTCCAGTATTTTTGTCAAGGACATGACCGGGAAGGCGGGAATCTTGTGGAACACACCTTTTCCTGCTTGACTGATATTTTAATTTGTTCCACACTTCACATTGGACAATTAGCAATTATTCTTTATTGAACCCGAGGTTAATAGAAGCAGGATATTCGCGGCGAGGTCAACATTCCTAAATCAGTAAAGAAACCAAAAAGCGTGGAAATCGGTAAACAAAAAGTTTGACCTTTACAGAATTTTCAAACATTGCAAATCAAATCGGAAACAGGTTATATGGAATCGCCAGAAGTTTAAATTCAGCTGTAAATTGTACTTCCAAGCCTAAGAAGAAAAGCAGAGCTTTTTTTTTTCATCTGTCGAATCGCCAAGTTAGGGAAAAAGGTTTTTTGTGCCGCTAATTTGTGTTGTTCTTCGTAAGTGCAGACAAAAGCAGGTTGCCCGGTTACTCGAGGTAAGGAGCCGTTTCTCTGTAGTTTTCTCTGTCCTGTTTAATTGAAATCTCAAGCTTTCGTCAAGATTTGCTTTCATTTTTTTCTCATTAAGTGAGTTGAATTTAATTTCGGGGGAAAATTTGTCTTTAAAGGAAATGTTGAGTTTACACACCTCTTCTACTCGATTAAACAGGGGCACCCAACGACTGTTTTCTGTGAAATATCTGTTCAGAGAAGCAAAAATTGCCTAGAATTTTCTATAGCTTGAGGAAGCTAAAAATTTCTAGATGACCGTTCCATTCATGTACAACTTCGAAGCTTAATTAATAAATTCCCTACGATTTTCTGTAGTTTAATTTTTTCCATGTTCACTCCCCATGTTAGCCCATTTTTCGTAGAGAAAGGAAACCTAAAATTTTCGGAATCGAAAATGCAATGCAGAGAGGAATCAGAAAAATTATCACTTCCTCGTAAAACTTTAAATTGCAGCTAAAATTTTCGGGAAAATAATGCCGAAGCCCTTGTAATTTCGAAAAAGACTCAAGTGGCCCTAGGATGACCGAACAGATATAAATTTTTTAGTGCCGCTTAAAATACATTTATAGAGATCTTAAAGTACTCTGGATAGCCTAAAAAGTGTTTTTAAAGCATTAAGGAGGAAACTGTCATTGGGTGCCCTGATGAAACTGTAATTGTCAACATTCCATCGAGCAAAAAATACTGCTAAAGTCAGTCTGAAAATCCTCTTTTGAAACTTTGAAGTCTTTTCATACCTTCAAAAAAATGGACCCTAGGATTTTGCCGAATTCTGAAAGGTTCTTACTCAAAAAAAATTGGCAAAACAACGAGCTCACGAATTATTTACTTGCGAGGCTAAAACACTACAAAGATCACTGAGTGTGCATCCTGAAACCGATTTTTGCTTGTAAAAGCTTTATTTGTGTAAGGTTATTTGTGTTTTTTTATGTTGCAAACGGTGTTGAAATAAATACGACAGTATGATAATCTCATCTGGAGATTATTTACTTTAGATGGTTTTACCAAGCCTCATATTTTCTTATACACCTGTAATAATTAACCTTTACAGATCCTGCACCACAATGTGTAGGTAAGAACAACCCCAAACATTTGTTATGTGTGTTAAATAATAAGAAATCGAACGAGTGAGCGCAGCGAACGAGTAAGATTTCTGATACAAAAACAACGAGTGCGTAAATATCGTACAAAGCACTTTCCATGTGGTATTGTGTGTATTATATACATACTGAGACATCCATCATTTTGGCGGCCTTTTTATTTTAAATCTTTCAAAAATCCTAAAATTTGCCGCTACACACTTACCGCAAAATGACAACGAAAACGAAGTATCCGCTTTTTAGTAAAAACGTTTGTTAAAAACATAACTGAAGGTGAGGATATGAGGTAATCCAAGAACTATACGTAATCTTAACTGTTTTTTCTCAATGCACAATTAAAAATGAGAGAATTTAAGTAAAATGGCCGGTAAAAGTAGCTCCGACAAAAAGCACAACAAAAGCTTACGTCTCGTTCTGTTTATCCCTTTCCGTTGTTGTTTCGCCGGCTCTCTACCGTTTTCTTTATCGACAGTGAAACAAGCGAAACTATTCCACTCCATTTCCGAAATGTTTTTCACTTTTTTAGCGCGAAAAACTCTTTGAGTAAAACTTTTCTTGTTGAATGTGTGCGAAGCGCGCTGCAAGCTGCAATAACAGGCGGGAATTTTGGCGCGAAACTCACACACCTTTGTGGCTTCTGATTGGACGTATCATTTTTCTCACACGTGAAAAAAACATCGTTCGCGATTCTGATTGGACGTATCATTTTTTTCACGTGTGAAAACCATCGTTCGCTCCTCTGATTGACTACAACTAATTTGCGTACGAAAATTTACGGCATAGCTTTTTGGTGAGTATTTCTCAGTATGTATATAATAAAGTGATACATTTAACAATTACTCAACGAGTGCGCGTTGGGTATGAGATGGTAGATAGCCAACGAGTTGGCTATAATCATCTCATATCCAACAAGCGCGAGTGGAATAATTGTTTTATTAAAAACGCCCACAAAATATCGAGAATTCTTCCCGGCTTTATTTGTAACTAAAACCACCGATTTTCAGCTTGTCTTTAGTTTTGAGCAGACACGTACAGTTACCATATTTGGAGAGCATGGTATAATGGCTCATATACCATGATGGCTAAGCCAATCAGAGCGGTAGAATTGCATTATCCAATGATTCAGTTTTTAATAAATAAATATATATGTTGCAGTTAATTTTTATTTTAGTTAATTTTTGTTTCTCCTTTGTTTTAAATTCATTAGAATACATTACAATACATTACCCTCGCGTCCTCTTCGCGTCTTCTGTCTCCTCTTGGACCCTCCTCCAAAAATAATTCTGTACACCACAGGCGGCCCAAACTCACGTTGCGAGGGAAGGGTGTAAATGTAATTTACATAACATATGTGACGCGCCGGTGTCGCGTTACAGGCGACCGTTGAAAATATAAGAGACTTTGTATGGGAAATATATTACTGAGATCTGCGAACGCCAAATAACGCTAAACCTTACTTTTTCTTAAATGAAATGAATAAAAAAGTCTTACCTGCAATCTATTCCGCTGCGGTTTGGTGTCTGTTTGTCGTTTTACTGTTTTTTTGGCTTTATTGCGTAACCACTGTTACTCCTTTCATAGAACGAAGTGAAGGCTGGTCACTTCCATCTGTCGGGGTCCTGGACCAGTCGCAAAAAAAATGCCGTTTTTTTCGCCGAAATTAAAATCCGCTGCAAATTTTTCAGTTCCAGCCCAAGAAGGAAACCTCTTCTTCCTCTCTGGGAGATCGGCTCGAAAAAAAATCCATAATTTCCCCATCAAATCGAGCCATTTGTGCCGGACTTCGAGGCAAGTCTGGCTTTCGTGCAGTGCCTGTGACCACTGTCGCGCTTACCAAGGTTTCCAATTTCAAATGCAAATTAGTTGCTAGGGTGGCGTGGTGGGGCGAGGAGCCTAGTTAACACTAGTTAACGGGTCATTTCTGCCCTTGCACCCGTCGCGTAAGTGCTAATTGTCACCCTAGCAACTAATTTGCATTTGAAATTGGAAACCTTGGTAAGTGCGACAGTGGTCACAGGCACTGCACGAAAGCCAGACTTGCCTCGAAGTCCGGCACAAATGGCTCGATTTGAAAAAACGACAAACAGACACCAAACCGCAGCGGAATAGATTGCAGGTAAGACTTTTTTATTCATTTCATTTAAGAAAAAGTAAGGTTTAGCGTTATTTGGCGTTCGCAGATCTCAGTAATATATTTCCCATACAAAGTCTCTTATAGTTTCAACGGTCGCCTGTAACGCGACACCGGCGCGTCACATATGTTATGTAAATTACATTTACACCCTTCCCTCGCAACGTGAGTTTGGGCCGCCTGTGTGTACACTTGGGTAAATAACATAAGTCAACGTTTAGGATCCTCTTTGCAGACATAGGTGCCTTATCACGCACTCCAACTGCAATGCTTATTTAGTAGGCAGATTTTGTATAAGGAATAAGCCCAATACCACTAAATACTCTTAGCTACAATGTATTTTTTTCTTTAGAAAATAAACCTATTTAAGAAACTACCCTAAATACCTTAAATTTGCAACTGTGCTAATTATTATTTTATGTAAGTACCTGTTCGGCTATCTTGGGAAAATGCAGGATCGTAAAACGCAGGCTTTTACTGTATTCATCATTTTATTGCTTGGAAATCTTGTAATCCTAGAAGGTGAAGCTTGCAACGAGACTCACGTGGGTGCAGACAGTGGTATCCTTCAGTCTCCGTTTTTTCCGCACAATTACCCGAATGAAGCCTACTGTTTCTGGAATATCAGAGTCAACCAATCACAGCACGTGTTTTTGATGTTCTCATCAAGTTTCAGTTTACAGGCTGAAAACAACACAGATGTCATTCGTGTGTACGATGGAGGGAATACCACAGAGGAGGAGTTGGGAGTGTTTTACGGAGGACACCCGCCCCCTCAGGATGGACTCTATTCATCAGCAAACCAAATGTTTGTGGTTTTTAAAACGGACAACAACAAATCTTTCTCCGGTTTCCAAGCTTCCTATCACGCCTTAACGTGTTCCGGTAAGGATGTTTCAGAACAACTGACCTTCTTCTAGGCCACAATGCAGTTTCCATTCAAATTTTCAAAGGCAATAGGCCACTTCCGAGTTCCGAAAACCCTCACTTTCAAAATGAGGCCAAGTGCACAGCCATTCTTGTGAAATTGAGTTTTATTTGCATGAGAATGAAAAATCATCTCCATATCAATGGCTAAGCACTAGTCGTTTTGATACAGAGGCCCAGGGGAACTCGGATATGGCCTACCTTGCATTGCCATCAACCTCGAGACAGGCAGAGGGAGCAATCTTTTTACGTAACTTCGCGCGGTAGCTTCAAGCCTTGACGAAGACCGGCGAATGAAGGCGTTGTTGAAACTTCACTTTTAAAATCATGTTTAAATCGTTGTAGATTATAAACACTACTTATCGACCGAGAGTGATGTCCGAGATTACAGGGAAATCTCAGACCGAGGCTTTGATGTAATAGGGAGCTTATAAGCAACAAGGACGGCGACGGCTACAAACGTCACTTATTCGCTTATTCTGTCTCGTTTAATTCGTGAAATGTTGGCAAATTTTTTTGGAGTTAAGTTCTAAAGGACTGTATCAAAGTTCAGGAAAGAAAAAGAAACTTGTTGTTGTGTGTTCCCGTCCTCGACAAAACTGCGTGCAACAACAGCAAAGAAATGTACAATAAAGCGTGATGCACGTGCAACGTTGTTGTTTTGCGAGTATAAACCTTTTCCTTTTTGGCCGTTGTCGTTGCCGTTCGCTGTCTTCATTGCTTAAGCTCCCTATCTATACATCGAGGCCTCGGTCTGAGATTTCTCTGTAATGACCAAACGCACGAGGTTAATAAGTTCTTTATTATATGGCCTTTTTAGCGTCCTTTTCTTTAAAGTTGACTTCCAACACAGGGAAAAAAAACCTAAACAATAACGTAAAGTCATAGCAGCCTAACACTGTCGGCCCTTGCCATAGGGTACTTTGAGGTCTTGTCTAAGTGGGCTACGAAATTCCACTACCTCTTGACTATTTTCTATTGTTTGTTTCCTTGTTTGACATATTTTTTGCTTGAAATATATAGATCCTCTTGGAATGGAAAGCGGGGCCATTTCTGATGCTCAAATAAGTGCATCTTCGCATTATACCAAGAACTGGCGGCGTGACCATTCTGCAAAAAAGGCAAGGCTAAATTCGAGAGTGTCGTGGAGGAATATAGAATGGTGGGCAGCGGCTACAAATGATCTTCACCAGTGGCTTCAAGTGGACTTTGGTGGTTACACCAAAGTAACTCGTATCGCGACTCTGGGAAGTGGAGACGGAATCGTACAATATGTGACCAAGTTTAAAATCCGGTATAGTTCTGACGGAGTCATATGGCAATTTTACAAAGAACCTGGTAATGCGAATGCTTCAGCAAAGGTACGCTGGACTTGCTAAATAGGGAACTTAGGCAACGACGACGACAAAGAGAACTGCAAAAAAGCAATAGTTCCGGTTTGATTAGCAAAACAATAACCTTACATGTGCATCATGCTTTTTTTGTACATTTTTTTGCCGTTTTTGCAAGGCGAAAGTGCTTAAATTCATGTTTTGTCGAGGACGGAAACACAAGACAACAACTTTCTTTTTCTTTCCTGAACTTTAACACATTCCTTTAGACGATAAAGTTTGAAGCCGCGCGAATTCACTTTTTAAGTGACGTTTTGGTAGCCGTCGCCGTCGTTGTTGCTTAAGCTCCTTAATGAATTCAGTAAGGTTTCCAAAGATAGCTGCCTTAATGGAGGGCCTCAATGGGGTTTACCGTCAGCCGTCAAATGGCCTAAAAATTGACCGTCAACAGTCAGAAAAGGTTATTTTTTTTACCGTCAACGGTCATAAATGCAGGTTAAGATTAACGGTCAACAAGCTTTAAAGTATGTCAAAACTCACTATTTCAGCTGCTCTTCACGGCATTCCGGGAGAATCGGGAGTCCGGACCCCCCTATCAGACCTGAAGCTTGTTTGAGACTTAAATTCTTACATCTACTGGCTGATTCTTTTAATGCATGGAACGCGCGTTGCATTTTGCCACTAAACTAAATTCCAGGGATATTCAAAAAATGTAATTGTTTTTGGGTACCCTCCTATGATCTGTTTACCTCAGCTCGCAAAGCAGTCTTTCCCGTGCCAACGGCGACTGGCGTTCACAGATTGAGAAACACGTGGTCGTCTCTATGAGAAGTTATTTGCCACAAAAAAAGTTCAACAGTACTTTCTGAACCAAACTTTGGACCCCCCCAGTCAAAAATTCCTTGATCCGCCCCTGGGTAACACAATAACTGGTAGATCTCTTTCTGGCATACAAAGTTAAGAATAGCAAGTGACCGGAGGCAAACCAGTTGGCTATTTACAAGGGTGACCGAGGATTTGAACTCGGAACTACCGAAAACAAGTCCAGTGAGCGGTCAGGGCGGGCATTGAACGCGGGGCCCCCGGACTACAATTCCAGCGCCTTTAACTGCGGATCATTTTACGTTTCTGTGAAACTGCCCACCTAACCCTCCCCTTAACCAACATTAACACTTAGCAAGAGCCATAATAGGACAGAGAGGGAATCTAAGGGCGTTGGCCGGGATATCTTAATTTTTAGAATTATGCGGACCACGCGGAAACAGTTTCCGGTAAACTGGTTAACTTCCGGAAGACTCGCTTTCACGATTCAGCGCGCCAAAGCGAGGCGGCGTCAACAAATAAAAAAATGGCGGCAGTGGAGGGACGATGTGGAGTTGATAAATTGGCCTTCTTCAACAAAGAACCTACCATAGAAACTGCTTAAAACTTCTACACAAAAGGATCCTTTACAAGCAACGGTAGAAATCGGTTAAAGCGACCGCGTGACCATCGTTTTTGTTTGAACTGCTGGAAAGAAGACAAGTAGCGTTGCGGCCCGGATAGGCATTGTACACAAAACGCGCGGGTCCTACAAAGACGACCGTACAAGCGACCGTGTGGACGTATTTTCTATTGAAAGAGGAGGGAAAAGTACGTATAAAGGTGTCCAGTATTTTTGTCAAGGACATGACCGGGAAGGCGGGAATCTTGTGGAACACACCTTTTCCTGCTTGACTGATATTTTAATTTGTTCCACACTTCACATTGGACAATTCGCAATTATTCTTTATTGAACACGAGGTTAATAGAAACGGAATATTCGCGGCGAGGTCAATATTCCTAAATCAGTAAAGAAACCAAAAAGCGTGGAAATCGGTAAACAATAGGTTTGATCTTTACAGAATTTTCAAACATTGCAAATCAAATCGGAAACAGGTTATATGGAATCGCCAAAAGTTTAAATTCAGCTGTAAATTGTACTTCCAAGCCTAAGAAGAAAAGTAGAGCTTTTTTTTTTTTCATCTGTCGAATCGCCAAGTTAGGGAAAAAGGCTTTTTGTGCCGCTAATTTGTGTTGTTCTTCGTAAGTGCAGACAAAGGCAGGTGGCCCGGTTACTCGAGGTAAGGAGCCGTTTCTCTGTAGTTTTCTCTGTCCTGTTTAATTGAAATCTCAAGCTTTCGTTAAGATTTGCTTTCATTTTTTTGTCATTAAGTCAGTTGAATTTGATTTCGGGGGAAAATTTGTCTTTAAAGGAAATGTTGAGTTTACACACCTCTTCAGTACTCGATTAAACAGGGGCACCCAACGACTGTTTTCTGTGAAATATCTGTTCGGAGAAGCAAAAAGTGCCTAGAATTTTCTATAGCTTGAGGAAAGCTAAAAATTTCTAGATGACCGTTCCATTCATGTACAATTTCGAAGCTTAATTAATAAATTCCCTACGATTTTCTGAAGTTTAATTTTTCCCATGTTCACTCCCCATGTTAGCCCATTTTTCGTAGAGAAAGGAAACCTAAAATTTTCGGAATCGAAAATGCAATGCAGAGAGGAATCAGAAGAATTATCACTTTCGTGAAACTTTAAATTGCAGCTAAAATTTTCGGGAAAATGATACCGAAGCCCTTGTAATTTCGAAAAGACTCAAGTTGCCCTAGGATGACTGAACAGATACAAATTTTTTAGCGCCACTTAAAATACATTTCTAGAGATCTTAAAGTACTCTAGATAGCCTAAATAATTAACCTTTACAGATCCTGCACCGCAATGTGTAGGTAAGAACAACCCCAAACATTTGTTATGTACTGTGTTAAATAATATAAGCTTGCTGCATGCATAATAAATGTGGGGGTTTGGATGCGTAGGACCTTTTGATGTTGTGTTTGCCACTTATTAATCCAGCAAGTTTTCTTTACTTCAGTAAGCACTCATGGTTTTATGTGTCGGCTGCTGAATTTTTCTCTATGGAAAGCACTCAAAAGTGTTAAGAATATAAACTACTGCAATAAGTTCAAGCTGTGTATAGCTTCTTGTTTATAATTGTCTTATTTCTTGTACCTCCCCTCCTCAGTGAAAGCCTAATTAACTCATTTTCTACATTGTATGGTGAAACCTCTATTATGCAGACCCCATATTAAGCAGACACCCTGTATTCAGCAGTCGAATAGCTCAAAATGTGGCAAAACGTTTCATTCCATAATTTAAGAAAAACAAACCTGTACTTAGTGGATATCTCTAATAAGCAGAAAGCAGCAAAGTTTGTGTGGATGCCCGCCCAATTCTAATTATACAGGTTTTTTTTATTTATAACAACCTTTAATGCATAAAAATAGATGGTAAAAAGAAGGATGAGTGAGGGTGTAAAGAGAGAAGAACTGAGTCCTTATGCCAGGCTGGCTCCCTCCCTAAGGATATAATATAAAATACAACATGTAAAGGTTTCATAAAACTGGTACATCATTTTTATGTTGTGTGTCTTTTAGACTGTGAGCAGTCTCTCTTCAGCTCGAAAATCTGTAAGCAAGATTATTTGAGCAGCGAAGTCGCACGAGTTGTGAGGGCGCAAATTCGAATACGCTGCTCAAATACTCTTGCTTACAGATTTTCAAGCAAAAGAGAGACTGCTCGCAGACTATATGTCTTTCAGTGTCTGCAAACTTTTCTGTTGTTTTCTGACAGGTTGAATTGAAGGAACAATACTACTAGCAATCATGAATTCTCTTTTAAGATGTCTGCATGACCTTGCCACGGATAGTGGGGAAAATAATGTACAAGCTTGACAAACAGTGCAAGTTCTATATTTTGGGGCAAGGGAGCACTTATTCATTTATTTATTTATTTATTATTTTTTATACTTTTGTTAAACTATGTGGCTGCCAATGCATTTGGGATTTGAAATTTGAGGAATACTGGGAAGAGTGTGACCAACTGAGTGACACACATGTTATCGTAGACACTACATTAATATTGATTTGTCTCCTTCTAGATGCTTTCCTTGACATTGCCTCTTCAAGCCATGGCATGAATAGATACACTGATTCTGTCACACACTATGTTTTATTGCTCCAGAATGTCTCTCTCAATGCAACCCATGCAGGTGCATAAATTGATTAACTCACCAATTAAAAATGGCTCTTGCACTTAGTTCTTACTTAGGGCAAAATGTTGGCTTAGGGGAGGGGTAGGTGGGCAGTTTCCCAGAAACGTAAAATGATCCTAACTGCTAAGCCGCCCTGCCTCTAGTCTGCTACACAGCCGTTTTCAGTGCCGTCACGCAACGCTCCTCCCCAATGTGCAGACTACCCTGCCTCCAAGGACTGCTCAGTATTGTCAAACATGTAAACGATTCTTTTTCCAGGTGTTTACTGGGAATTCTGGCGGTCCAAATAGAATTATGTATAACCGACTGAATAAAGCCATCTTAGCACGATACATTCGAGTTGTGCCGGTGGCATGGTTTACGCACATATCGATGAGACTGGAAATCTACGGTTGCCAAGGTACTCTTTTACAATAATACAATAATTTTTATTAACTCTCCCAAAGGGCTATTCTGAAGTTAATTTACAAATGCTAAAAAGAAGGGGATAAGAAGAAAAAGCTTAAATTAATTACAATCTTAGTACAAAACTAAAAGCCTAAACTATGCGCGTAAAATTACGTTATCTCTTTGGAGATCTAAACTAAATCAAATATTAACCATTTAACGCATGGGGTCTGCACCTTCAATTCGCGTTTGAGGCTCCTCTTAAAGGTACATAGGTACATTTGAAATCACTGATGATCCCTGCAATCTGATTGGCTCTCAGCAGTGTAATTTACTGACGAATCACGCTATGTTTTGCTCTCAATCATATTCTAAATCGCGTCATTTCTGTTCTAACTTGCACCATCTTTGCTCAGTACCGCACCATTTTTGGTTGGAATACAAAAATGGAATAGGATGTAAAAGCCTTTTTGTTACCACTACCTTCAACACGGAAAAGTGAAAAAATTGCCGAAACCAAAATAAGATACCAGTTAAGAAAGGGGGTCCTGAGCTCCCCTAAATCCTCTCATATTACGTATCATTTAGATGTCTGTGTTATTCGTTATGTCTGGCACAGGGATAGCGCTGTAATAATATGATCAACTAATAAACCAAGGTATTATACAAACATACTAACATACAGTTGAAAACGTTCAAGTAGATAAATTCCAGTGGGCGTCAAACATTTGTCAATGAACACAGTTAATATGATTTAATCAGTTGATGTATTTAATCACTAACAGTTGTTGTTGAAAAAGAGACGTCCTCTTCATTTCCGGACTCAGATGTAGGAAATACTATTGTATTTTTAATTTTGACATGAGAGGCAAATTTAACCCTTTAATTCGCAAGAGTGACCAACATCAATTTTCTCCTAACAATACCGATACATAATCAAGAGAAAACTTACAAAAATTAACAAATTAACATGAAAGGGAAAAATTCTTTGATCTTTAAACAAAATCTCACAACTAATTTTTCTCAAGCATGCTAAGGCATGGCCTGAGGCTAATTTGCATAAAATCTTACAATGGTCATAACTTTGTGTAAATTTATCAGAACCTTCCAAAATTTGGCAACCTCGGAAAAATCGGTAACCTTAATTTTCCAGTAACGTAAGAAATGAGATATCTGTGTCACGTGACCACTTATGGTCGAGTCCAGGAAAGAAAAGAAAAGTAAAAATGGGTGGCGAGATGCCACACAGTATATATTAAATACAGTATTTTTGTTATTGTATCATCATTTCTCGCTTGAATCTGGCCGGAATGGTTGACTCACGGTTTTATTTGATTAGTAATTAAATCTGTCCTGTTTAATTGAAATCTCAAGCTTTCGTTAAGATTTGCTTTCATTTTTTTGTCATTAAGTCAGTTGAATTTGATTTCGGGGGAAAATTTGTCTTTAAAGGAAATGTTGAGTTTACACACCTCTTCAGTACTCGATTAAACAGGGGCACCCAACGACTGTTTTCTGTGAAATATCTGTTCGGAGAAGCAAAAAGTGCCTAGAATTTTCTATAGCTTGAGGAAAGCTAAAAATTTCTAGATGACCGTTCCATTCATGTACAATTTCGAAGCTTAATTAATAAATTCCCTACGATTTTCTGAAGTTTAATTTTTCCCATGTTCACTCCCCATGTTAGCCCATTTTTCGTAGAGAAAGGAAACCTAAAATTTTCGGAATCGAAAATGCAATGCAGAGAGGAATCAGAAGAATTATCACTTTCGTGAAACTTTAAATTGCAGCTAAAATTTTCGGGAAAATGATACCGAAGCCCTTGTAATTTCGAAAAGACTCAAGTTGCCCTAGGATGACTGAACAGATACAAATTTTTTAGCGCCACTTAAAATACATTTCTAGAGATCTTAAAGTACTCTAGATAGCCTAAATAATTAACCTTTACAGATCCTGCACCGCAATGTGTAGGTAAGAACAACCCCAAACATTTGTTATGTACTGTGTTAAATAATATAAGCTTGCTGCATGCATAATAAATGTGGGGGTTTGGATGCGTAGGACCTTTTGATGTTGTGTTTGCCACTTATTAATCCAGCAAGTTTTCTTTACTTCAGTAAGCACTCATGGTTTTATGTGTCGGCTGCTGAATTTTTCTCTATGGAAAGCACTCAAAAGTGTTAAGAATATAAACTACTGCAATAAGTTCAAGCTGTGTATAGCTTCTTGTTTATAATTGTCTTATTTCTTGTACCTCCCCTCCTCAGTGAAAGCCTAATTAACTCATTTTCTACATTGTATGGTGAAACCTCTATTATGCAGACCCCATATTAAGCAGACACCCTGTATTCAGCAGTCGAATAGCTCAAAATGTGGCAAAACGTTTCATTCCATAATTTAAGAAAAACAAACCTGTACTTAGTGGATATCTCTAATAAGCAGAAAGCAGCAAAGTTTGTGTGGATGCCCGCCCAATTCTAATTATACAGGTTTTTTTTATTTATAACAACCTTTAATGCATAAAAATAGATGGTAAAAAGAAGGATGAGTGAGGGTGTAAAGAGAGAAGAACTGAGTCCTTATGCCAGGCTGGCTCCCTCCCTAAGGATATAATATAAAATACAACATGTAAAGGTTTCATAAAACTGGTACATCATTTTTATGTTGTGTGTCTTTTAGACTGTGAGCAGTCTCTCTTCAGCTCGAAAATCTGTAAGCAAGATTATTTGAGCAGCGAAGTCGCACGAGTTGTGAGGGCGCAAATTCGAATACGCTGCTCAAATACTCTTGCTTACAGATTTTCAAGCAAAAGAGAGACTGCTCGCAGACTATATGTCTTTCAGTGTCTGCAAACTTTTCTGTTGTTTTCTGACAGGTTGAATTGAAGGAACAATACTACTAGCAATCATGAATTCTCTTTTAAGATGTCTGCATGACCTTGCCACGGAATTGATAGTGGGGAAAATAATGTACAAG